CCTCAACATTCTTTGTTAGAAGCCCTGCTACCGGTGCCACACTACGGCGCGACTCAGTGCGCTTGCCCACCCTTGGTCGCTGGGAAGATGTCTGCATTTCTTCCGGCGAAGCCAGTGGCCGCTTCTCCGGCACTACTGGCGGTGGGGGGGCACCGCAACCGGCCGGCCGATTGGTCCCGGCGGGGTCCTAGCCAAAGACTTCCTTGGCGTAAATCCCTCATCGTCATCCGCCATTTTAATTAAAGAAAAATTCCACTATATAATGTAAAATTGGAACGCGACCTATCAAAAACTATGACAGGTCACCCTGTCAACGTCACTGTCTATGGAAGTGTCACCCACAATGACAGCTGCCAACGTCACTGTCAGTGTCTTTTACAGTAACAGCTGTCATTGTCAAACAACACCGGCACAATCTAACCTATATTCTAGATCTGTTTTTATTATTTAAATTAACACTAAATATAATGAAAGTACTTACAGTTAAAAATCCAAACGAACACAGAATAATACACACAGCAATGGAATAAGTCTACTTAACCTAAAGCTACCACGCGGTAACCGCGTGGTCTAACCTAACCTAACACGTGTTTTTAACAATTAAAAATGTTTAAAAATGATTAAAAGCGATTACACACACTGCACAGTTCAATTAAAATACAAAATAAAGTTTTAACAACAATAAAAGTCAACTATTCTAATGAAATACTACTAAAAGACGCAAGAACAATTAAAAATCACTACCCGTGGTCACGCGAGAGCGCTTGAATACGTCCGCTCAGTACGAGTACCGACGACGTAGTAACCGTAACCTTTATTATGGAAATCGTGCGGTACTGGTGGACCGCCGAGATCGCGCAATTGCGCATAGCGTGCGTTGCGGCCCGACGCCGGTACACCCGATACCGGAGACGGCGTCGACGGGATTCCGCCGAGGAGGACGCGCTGTATGAGGTGTACCGCGCGTCTAAGGAGACTCTGTGGCTGGCCATCGGCGACTCGAAGTCGCGTGCCAGGGAGGAGCTGCTGGGGTCCCTAGATCGGGATCCGTGGGGGCGCCCCTACCGTTGGGTACGGGGCAAGTTGCGTTCCTGGGCGCCTCCACTAACGAAAACAACGCAACCCCAGTTGCTAGAGACGGTGGTATCAGTTCTCTTCCCTGAACGAGTGGGACACGTTCCCCCGGCGATGGCTTCGCCCTCAGCCACAGACTCTCCAGAGGAGGAGAGCACCGATGTCCCCAAGGTGACGCAAGCAGAGATGAGAGCGGCTATGGCGCGACTTCGTGCCAAGAACACAGCGCCCGGACCCGACGGAGTTCCTGGTCGAGCTCTCGTCCTGGCTATGAAGGAGCTGGAGCCCCAGCTGAGGGGGCTCTTCACGGCATGTCTCGAGCAGGGTCAGCTTCCCAGTGTGTGGAAGGAGGGAAGGCTGGTCCTACTCAGGAAGGAGGGGGCGCCCCGCGGACTCACCGTCCGCGTACCGGCCCATAGTGCTGCTCGACGAGGCGGGCAAACTTCTTGAGCGTATCATCGCAGATCGCCTCGTCAGCCACTTGTGCAGAGTGGGGCCAGACCTGGACGAGAACCAGTTTGGTTTTCGTCGCCCACCATAGACGCTATTACGCGCGTGAGGGCCCTGGCGGAGGAGACAGTATCCCGGGGTGGGGTGGTGCTGGCGGTGTCATTAGACATCTCCAACGCCTTCAACACCCTACCCTGGAGTTGTATTCGGGAGGCGCTTAATTACCATCGCGTGCCTCCCTACCTCCGCCGCACAATAGGGGCCTACCTTGAGGAGAGATGCGTCACGTATTGGGGACGTGACAGCGCTGGTCGACGCGTCATGTCGTGCAGGTGTTCCGAAGGGATCGGTCTTGGGACCGCTCCTGTGGAACATCGGCTACGACTGGGTGCTGAGAGGTGAGCTCCCGTCGGGCGCTGACTTGACCTGTTATGCGGACGACACGCTCGTCACTGCCCGGGGGAGCTCGCACAGGGAAGCAGCGTTGGTTGCCACGGCTGCGGTTTCACAAGTGGTGAACCGCATCCGGTGCCTGGGCCTGGAGGTGGCCCTTAACAAGTCGGAGGCCATGGTGTTTCATGGCCTTCGACGCGCGCTGCCGCCGGGATCGCACATCGTGGTCGGCGGGGCCCGGATAGCTGTCGAGTCCACCATGAAGTACCTGGGATTGGTGCTCGACAGCCGATGTGAATTTGGGCCCCACTTCCGGCGGCTGGCGCCCAAGCTGATGCGTGCAGCTGGCGCACTTTCAACGCTGCTTCCCAACTTGGGGGGCCCGAGCGCTGCCTGTAGGCGGTTGTACGTGGGAATCGTGCGGTCCATGGCCCTGTATGGGGCCCCTGTATGGGCGATGGACATGACGGCCAGCACTCTCGCCATTCTGCGCAAACCGCAGAGGGCGATGGCCGTCAGAGTCATCCGCGGGTATCGCACGATTTCCTACGAGGCGGCTTGCGTCCTGGCCGGATCCCCGCCCTGGGACCTAGAGGCGAAAGTACTCGCGTCACTATATCGATGGCGCGAGGAAGAGCGCGGGGCTCGAGGCCGGTGCAGCGACAGATCGCGCTGCGCCGAGAGGAGCTCCGTCAGGTCTTGGTGGCGGAATGGCGGCAAAGGCTTCTGCGCCCTACCGCCGGCCTCGCTATCGTCGAGGCGATCCGGCCAGTACTCGACGACTGGCTCGGGGAAGGCACGGCTTCCTGTCGTTTAGGGTGACGCAGGTGCTGTCGGGGCACGGCAGCTTCAACAAGTACCAGTGCCGCATAGACAGGGAGCCGGACGCTCGGTGCCACCACTGCGTCCATTGCGGGGAGGACACGGCGCAACACACGCTAGCCGAGTGTGTAGCTTGGGAGGAGCAGCGCCGTGTCCTCACAAATGAAGTAGGAGGCGATTTGTCGCTGTCGGCCTTGGTGCGGAGTATGGTCGGTAGCGCAGAATCGTGGGATGCAGTGGTGTCCTTCTGTGAGAACGTGATGTCGCAGAAGGAAACTGCGGAACGGGAGAGGGAGATCTCGACTCCCTTCCCTGGCCGCAGAAGGCGCACCGGGCGCAGGAGAAGGGCGGACAACGCCCTTTTCCAGCCCCCATGAATAAGTCCAGGGGCGAGGGACTAGGGGAAGCCCCCGCCCCCCTATTCGATGGACCCGAGGCGGAGGCACGCGGGGGTGTCGGCGCGTGCCTCTGGGGTGATACAGGGGGTAGTTGAAGACCTCACTACCCCGTGCAGGAGACGAGGCCCGTACAGACCGGGCCAGCACTAGTGTGGGGCTGCGGAAGAATTTGGATTCCCGCGGCCCCGCGCGTGCACGTGCGAGGAGACACCGGGGTGGTTTTAGCCGGTAAGAGTCCGGCACACCCCTCCGCCTGTCCCCAGGCAGAGGCAGTCCATGAGGATTTCCCCCGTAAAAAAAAAAGGTTAGGTTAGGTTACGTTAGGTTTTTTTTTTGGGTATTTGTTGTAATCCAAATTGAAATTGCGAACGGTATACAATTCCAAAGTGGAGAATTCAGTGGGAGTGGTTCTTAACACTTAGACCATATAATTACAATTCTAGCTACTGGAATGGGTTTTATTAAATTCTTTTAAAGAATTTATTATACTTTGGACAAGAGTTATAAAAGATGTAGTTGTACTTTCTTTTGATATAATTTCTCTAATATTATACGGATCTAATTTATGCATACTAGACATTATTTCATGATTCTGTCTTATTGTTCCATATTTTGAGCACTTCTTAATAAGATGTTCTATTGATTGAATAGAGGAATTATCACAGGGGCAGCGGTCATTACTTACTATTTTGAATCAGTACAAATATTCTTTATGAAATCTATGATCTGTTAAGATTTGAGTCAATTGAAAGTTTATTTTAAGGCACTTGATTACTTTTTGTAGGATTTCGAATGTGGGACACCATTTCTTAGTGTATCTGCAATTATTTGTTTCCATATATAAATCATTCGCGGCTTGTTGACTAATTTGATTTCGTCTTTATATGACTGAGGGGAAACATTGAATATTCTATTTTGTTATGACTCATTGCTGCAGATTTTGCCGCTACATCCGCTTCTTCGTTTCCTAATATGCCTGCATGTCCTTTGACCCAAATGAAATCTATGACGTAATTTAAGGATTTAGCTTTATATATTATTTCCTGAATTTCAGTTGCAAGTCTGTTTCTACTGTAGCGATTGTTTAGCTCTATTAATCCCGATTGACTGTCGGATAAAATAACTGTTTTACTTATTTTATTAGAGAGGATCCAATGGCAAGCCTTATTTATTGCTAATAATTCTGCTTGAAATACTGAGCAACACTTGTGTAATTTAAATGCTTTAACTACTTTTCTCTGTTGCGAGCCATATACTACAACTCCACTTTCCCTTGCTGCCGTCAGTATATATTTGGTAACTGTCTGGAGATACGTGTTCTGCTATATGTTCCTGTTCTGAAGCTATATTGAAATTTATTTTAACTCTATTCGCTGGATGAAGAATTGTTGAAGGTTGCACTGGTCCGTCAAGTGTGATATCTTGTGGAAAAAATTTTGATATTCCTGTTATTCTTGTGTTTTCAATTTCAGCAGTTTCTAAAATTTTTGCAGGCAAGGGTGTTAGGTTAGCTAGTGAAATGGATGCTGCTGTACTAAGAGTTCGGAAACCACGAACTATTTTTGTGGCAAAACCTCTTTGTAACGACAAGAGTTTTTTCCGGACACATTCAAATTTTATTGCATCATGCCATATGCTAGATGCATAACAGATGATCGGTTCAATTACTTGTTTGTATATTATTGTTATATTATCTCCATGTATACCCCACGTAGGTCTGACAATTCTAATGAGTTTTTGATATATATTTTGTGCTTTATCAATAATGGATTTTACGTGCTGTGTGAAATTCAGTTTTTTTATCAATGGTGATGCCAAGGAGCTTAATTGTATTTTTAAAGTGTACTTGTTGATTATTGATTTTTAATACGCATTTCTCAGCGTTGTTAGCGTTGCTATTGCCTGCGTCTTTTGAGGTCCGAACGTTAATTTTGCATTAAATCCCCATTGGGTGATCATTTCTAAAGCTTGATTGGTTTTATTCTGTAAAAGTTCTAAATTTTTATCATGAGCAATAAGTGTAACATCATCTGCGAATGCTTGTATGTGACTCCCTTCTGGGAGTTTAAACTCTAAAAGTTTATCCAAAATCAGATTCCAACAAGTTGCTCCACACACTGATACTTGGATGCAACTGCGTGTGAGTGTCTTTGTGGCTGAGCTTTCCGCAAAATCAATCTGCGCTTTCCTATCTTGAACATATATATGTTATTTAATTTTTTAGGACATTTGATCTTGTGCAGTCTTTTGTATTTATTGAAAGCTGCTTGTATGTCCAACGAAATGGCTATTACATGTTCATTGTTTGATTTGGATTGCTTGACTGTATCTATAACTTTTTTAAGGCATGTACGGTGCTAGTTTGTTCTTTAAATCCATATTGGTTATTGCATGCAAGTTTATTACTGGTGATGTGGTGTGTGATTCTTTGAATTATTAGTTTTTTCTAATAGCTTTCCAAAAACATTTAATAATCCTATAGGTCGGTATGCAGCAGTATCGAAATAGTCTGATTTGTTAGGTTTAGGTATTATTTTGATGTATGCTTCCTTCCATATTTTCGGAAAATATTTTAGCTCCAAACATCTGTTCATTATTGAAGTGACCGTTGAAGGATACCATTTCGCAAACATTAGACAAATGTCTGACGTTAGATGGTCGGGCCCTGGTGACTTGTTGGGATTCATAGTTTTGAGGCAGTCCAAGATCTCTTCAGTGGTGAATGACGGGTCAGGAGTGGTCTTTGGAGAAATTTCCATGAGTGATCTTGCTTCACGCTGCTGTTCTGTCACATCAGGTGTATCATCAGGGAAGTATTCGTTTAGAAATACGTTTGCCGCCTCGGTAGTATTTACAGTATAGTAACCGTTTCTTAATTTTACAGTTGATGGTGGTAGAGTAAGAGGTTTGGTTTTAAGTAATTTATTGGTCAATGACCAGACATCGTCTTTTCCCTGTTTATTGCAGAATTCTTTGAAGTTTAAGATTGATGCGTTTTTTAATGCTTCAGAATATTCCGCTTCCAATTTATTACGCTCATCTATAGCTTCCGTTAACGGTAGGCTTCGACGTTTAAATTGATGAATTGTGTGGTGTTTCTTTATGAGCTTCTTTTTCATATTTTCTAGTTCTGTCGACAACCAAGGATTTTGTGATTTTTTGCTTAAAGCCCGAGGCAAAGTTACATTGCATGCAGTTTGTATTGCAAGTGTCATATTTACTATAAATTTTTCTAATTGCACTGTGTCTAATTTGCATATATTTTCTTGTGTTGGAAGTGCTTTATTGATTTCTTTTTTGAAGTTTTCCTCTATGTTTTCCCAATTAATACGGGTGGTGTGGTATCTAAAGGTGGGCAGTCTTTTGTTTTTCTTTATGCTACGGTCATCTAGATGTAATTTAAATTCAATGCCATTATGATCTGAAGAAGGACATATTTCAAGATTAACTTTCCAATCCATAACTTGGTTTACTAGTGAGTTACTTGTTAATGTTAGGTCAATAATTGAGTCTCTATGTATACCATGTGTAATTGTTTCAAAAGTGGGCGTGGTGCCCTGATTGCATACGTCTAGGTTATAAGTATATACTAAATTAGCTATTATATTACCTCTTTTGTTGTTTGATTTAGAGTTCCAAAGGCAGTGCCAGCCGTTAAAGTCATCTCCAAGTTGATTCATGGTGTCATATATATCGTTACGTGGTTCTATGTATACACTTACGAGGTAGATTTGTTTGCCCGCCTTGTTTATTTGTACTATTGAACAGTTAGAGTTGGAGTATTCTGAAATACCGAGGGTGCTGAATGAATTTTCTTTCATCAATATGCATGCTTTAACAGGTCGATTTGATTGGAACTGGTATATTGTGTATCCATCAACTTTTTTCATTAAGTTTGTTTCTCCTAGATAGGGTTCATTTATTAGGGCCACGTGAATGTCATTTTCTCTCAAAAATAAAGAAAACTCGTGTTGCGCTTCCTTGCAACGTCCAAGATTGCATTGCACGAAATTGAGAAAATTAAAATTATTAACACATTCCTTTCTGTTAGTATACTGGTTACGTTGAATTTGAGATAAGTTACGTTGGTTATTTTTCTTATTGGGCTTAATATCCATAATCGGTTTTTTCAATAGCACGTTTAATCATAGTTTGGACGGTGGGGCAAGAATTTTATGTAGCGGAATGTTTTGTGTCTCTGTTAGTTTTGTGTTTTTGATTGTAGGTGTTACAGTTAATGCAGCACGTCTTAGCCTGATTATTTTTATTTGGGCAGTTTACAAAATTGTGTGTCTGAGATGCGCAGTGAGAACAAGGTTGTGTGTCTGATGTAGAAATTTTTTTAATATGACCGAACTGTAAGCATTTAAAACATTGAAGATGAGCCGAGAACTGTTCAACATATATTTTTTGGTGATCGATATTGACGCGTTCCATTTTGATAGCATTTTTCCAAATTGAGGGTGTTACAAGAAGTACTGCATTATATAAATCATTATTTTTGTTTTTACGTTGAAATCGGAGGACAATATCAGTATCAGTTTGAACTAAATCATTAATTGTAGGGTTCTGTCGTTAGAAGACACTCACGAGTTCGTCGACTGGGACGTCTTTTGAAATGTTGATGGATCATCAACTTTTTTCATTAAGTTTGTTTCTACTAGATAGGGTTCATTTATTAGGGCCACGTGAATGTCATTTTCTCTCAAAAATAAAGAAAACTCGTGTTGCGCTTCCTTGCAACGTCCAAGATTGCATTGCACGACATTGAGAAAATTAAAATTATTAACACATTCCTTTCTGTTAGTATACTGGTTACGTTGAATTTGAGATAAGTTACGTTGGTTATTTTTCTTATTGGGCTTAATATCCATAATCGGTTTTTTCAATAGCACGTTTAATCATAGTTTGGACGGTGGGGCAAGAATTTTATGTAGCGGAATGTTTTGTGTCTCTGTTAGTTTTGTGTTTTTGATTGTAGGTGTTACAGTTAATGCAGCACGTCTTAGCCTGATTATTTTTATTTGGGCAGTTTACAAAATTGTGTGTCTGAGATGCGCAGTGAGAACAAGGTTGTGTGTCTGATGTAGAAATTTTTTTAATATGACCGAACTGTAAGCATTTAAAACATTGAAGATGAGCCGAGAACTGTTCAACATATATTTTTTGGTGATCGATATTGACGCGTTCCATTTTGATAGCATTTTTCCAAATTGAGGGTGTTACAAGAAGTACTGCATTATATAAATCATTATTTTTGTTTTTACGTTGAAATCGGAGGACAATATCAGTATCAGTTTGAACTAAATCATTAATTGTAGGGTTCGGCCTTAGAAGACACTCACGAGTTCGTCGACTGGGACGTCTTTTGAAATGCCTTTTAGTTGAACCATGGGTCTCAATTTTTTAGAAGCTTGAACAGTCCCATTACTTTCACTCTTATTGATATTTTTAATTACGTAATCCCGTTGTTCCGCAGTGTCAAACTCTACACATAACTTAGAGTTTGACAAGGGTGTAACCTTAGATGGAGCGAATGTGGTATTTTTAAAAGAGAAACTCTTACGCCAGGCCTCCACGGTTTCCTTCTTGGTATCTGTTTTGGCAGTTACAATAAGGGCGTGCTTAGTGCGTCGCTGTTCGGGAGCTTTCTGTATAGCGGGTGTTGTTTTTACAATATGGGCATAAGAAGGCTGCTTCAGTTCTGTTTTTAATATCGCCAGTTCCTCTTTAATGCACCCCTTCAGGATGCTCTGAATTTCTCCACAATCGGCGCTTCCAGAAGTAGCCTCACCTCACCTCACCTGATTTTTTATTATTTCGTGTGTTTTCTGAAGGAAATTAGAGTGCAGATGGTAGTTTCTACACAATAAGGATCTTCAGAATTTTCAGCCAAATTAAAGATGAATTTATGTTTAAAATTACGAATTTACGATAATAATAGAATATAAATATAAAAATTAATTATATAGCTGCTAAAATTTACCAAAAAAACTATAAGATAATATGAGGGGCAATCAACTGCACTATTTACAGAAGATTTGAACTTAAAATGCCAATTTTCAGGAAAGTTATTAACAAATATATGGTTAAATTTATGCAGTTGTAAGGATCGACCACTATACCTCGGTTTAGGTAAGTAGTGTTTTTTTTCGTATTTCGTGTGTTTTCTGAAGGAAATTAGAGTGCAGATGGTAGTTTCTACACAATACGGATCTAACAGGAGCAAAAAGAACGAGATAAACGAAAATTTTAAAAAGTTTAAAAATTTGATGAATTTAAGACTATAAAAAGATGAAAACTATGAAAATTTGATATTTAAATGTGAAAATTTACAAAGAAAACTATATGGGAATACGGGGGGCGGTTATTTGTACTATTTAAAAGTTAATTTGAACGGAAAGTTTCGAAAAGTTCAGGAAAGTTATTATAGGTTAGGTTAGGTTGTTTTTGTTTTTTTTTTTTTTTTTTGATTTTCCACCAAAGAATATACCGTCCTTGACGGGAATTTATTGACATTTTTACACAAAGGGTTACATTAAATGGCTTACACTATATTTTGTATGCTGTTATTCTCTAAGACTAGATAACTAACATCAATGCGATTTGATACATTGTTAAGGTATCGGTCTTTTTAATATTATCACTATTACAAAATTATTTTTCACTGAATGAAATTATTAATAACAATATAAATTTGTATAATTATTCCCAGTAGTATATTCATAAATGTTAGAGCTTAGCTCTTGAAATTTTACATATTTTAGAAAATTAGAAAGAGTACCGAATTAACAAAAAATTATAAAAAAAAAAAACGAGTAAAGAAAATTACAGAATTAATATAAATATAATACAGGGTATTCTTATGTCTACTGCTTATAATTTAGTCCTTAGCTTATAGTTTATTAATATTCATTAAATTTGTGCCTTATTATCAATAATATAATATGAGTCGTTAAGTTGTACAGATATGATTAGTAAACAAGCATAGGTAAATGAAAGAGATTTATTTATGTTATATATACAAGGAAGGTGAGAATTGAAATAAGATTCAATTTAAGTAAAATACAAGGTATTCCTACATCTACTATATTAATGTTACGAGCTTGAGGTTCGTGACGATAAAAATTGCCGATAAAATTACCTAAATTAACACTTTAATTTACTTTACACAATTAGAGTTAAAACACTAATAATTTAAACACACTAATTCACTTAATTCCACTCCGAAGCTTCGCTTGTTTCGCCCAAATCAACACTGCCTCCATCGCATCTTGCAGCGCCTATATATTTAAATTAGCAAAGAAATATCCAGAATGTTCAAGTAAACACGCGGAAGGTACCGAGCGTTCGAGTTTCGACTAGGCGCTGTCGGTTGAGTAATTTGTGATGTCATTTTCTCAATGCTCCCCTCGCTCTCGTTCCTGACACTAGATGGCGCTAGTGTATCGTTGACTGGAGCGCGTAACACTGCCCCCTCCTAAGACATGCTCGTCCCGAGCATTATCGGCCCCATAATAACGCGCCAAGCGATTCACATGGACGATCTTAGGAGTCCCTCTTGCGCCTTTCTGTAACGGCTCCGCAATGTCAAGGGCTGTCCTATCCCGTGGTGCACCAACATTGTACAATTTCGGTGCTCCTCTACTACGTGTCCGAGGTCCCCGCTCGGCCGCACAACTTGTACATGTACGACACCAATCCTCAACATCGTCACGATAATGGACCCAGTAAAACTGTTCTCGGACCTTCAGTAGAGTTCGTTTAACTCCCAGATGGACTCTTGAACGATCATTATGGCACAACTGTAGAACATTCGGCACTTTAGCTTTAGGGACAACCATTTGCAAACGACAGCTGTCTCTTCGACCATTGTCCCATTTACGGCACAGGACTCCATCCTGAATCAGCAAGCTGTCCCATTGGGCCCAATAGCTTTTCGTGGTTGAACTCATCGCTGAGACGTCCCTCCACTTAGGCTTGGTAGCACGGGCCTTCATCCATCCCAGAATCGGCTTGATGTCCGGATCTTCCTGCTGTGCATGTCGTAGGTTGTCCTTCCACCCGTTGTTGAGGTGGTCTGTCCTGAGCATCCTCACGGATACCACCTCCTTACTCTCTTGCCTACTACAATGGTTGCAATCTTCAGGACAAGGTCTTCTTGACAATGCATCTGCGTTGCCGTGAGATTTCCCGCTGCAGTGTCTGATAGTAAAGTCGTATTCCTGCTGCTGCTGGGCGGTGCTGTTAGCCGCACTTCCTTTCTGAGACCGTTCACCTTCCCTTCGTAGGGTGTGCTCAGGGCAGCTGGACCGAAGATGGCCCCTTTCCCCACAGCCATAGCACCTAGGGCTGTATCTTTTATTGTGGTCGCGAACCGTAACTGCTGTAACCTCCCTAGCGTGAGGTGAACGATGATCCTGTCGCCGCCAGGCAGTGTCGTTAGCTACACTACCCTCTCGAGATCGATCAACTCTCCTTTCCACGGTTCGCTTAGGGCAGCTGATTCGAAGATGGCCCTTTTCCCCACAGCCATAGCACCTTGGGCTGTATCCTTTGTTGCGGTCGCGAACTGTAGCTGCTGCAACCTCCCTGATGCGATGGGAACGATGATCCTGCCGCACGGCTTCCACCTCCAGTGCATGGGCCAAGGCGTTCTTAAGCGTGTCGTGGTGCCCGAGTCTCACAGCAGCTCTGACTTCAAGGTCGCGGATGCCGTCGATGAATGTCTGAACCAGGTTCCCTTCAATGAGCGCAGGTACAGACCGGTATGCTTTTCGAACCATCTTCTCCACCTCTAGAGCCCACTGCTGCAGGTTTTCGTTGATGCGCTGCACACGATCTTTAAGCTGCGCACGAAAGACGTGTTCCAGGTGAGCGTCGCCATATC